GTCACATGACATCACTCTTATCTCTATTCATAAAACACAGACCTGACCGGAGAGGAGAGGGGGATTCTGGGAGGTCACATGACATCACTCTTATCTCTATTCATAAAACACAGACCTGACCGGAGAGGAGAGGGGGATTCTGGGAGGTCACATGACATCACTCTTATCTCTATTCATAAAACACAGACCTGACCGGAGAGGAGAGGGGGATTCTGGGAGGTCACATGACATCACTCTCATCTCTATCAATAAAACACAGACCTGACCGGAGGGGTGAGGAGGATTCTGGGAGGTCACATGACATCACTCTCATCTCTATTAATATAACACAGACCTGACCGGAGAGGTGAGGGGGATTCTGGGAGGTCACATGACATCACTCTTATCTCTATTCATAAAACACAGACCTGACCGGAGAGGTGAGGAGGATTCTGGGAGGTCACATGACATCACTCTTATCTCTATTAATAAAACACAGACCTGACCGGAGAGGTGAGGAGGATTCTGGGAGGTCACATGACATCACTTTCATCTCTATTCATAAAACACAGACCTGACCGGAGGGGTGAGGAGGATTCTGGGATTCTAACATAATATTCCTATTGGTTTCTCCATCCAGAGTTTTCCTCTTCTAAAGTCTAGTGGTCAGCTGACCATCACAGTGCCCCCATGTGACTCCTTAAGACGCGAGAGACCCAACATGGAGAAGATTCCAGAAGTCACCAAGAAGATGGAGCTGCTGACAGGAGAGGTGAGCGGTGCCGGGAATTCTGGGACATGATCCAGGAACAGACAAGGGGCGTGTCTGGGTGGTGACGGTATCATTGTGTGTGTCAGTGATATTGATGATGATGATTGTACAGAAGCGTGTTTGATACAATGAATGTTTTATTATATATTCAGATTGGAAACCTCGGGGATCATAATGATATGAAAGAAGAATATAAAGAGGAGGATGAGGAGTATGGAGTGATGAAGGAGCTTTCTGAAGGACACAAAGATCTCCACAAGAACATTATGATGGAGCCACCTAGTAAGAGGAACCCACCAGAGAGATGTCCCCGTCCTCTGTATTCCCGGGATTCCACACAGGAGGACCACACCATCCTCCACCAGGATCAGGTAGATGATGAACCATCACTGATGATATGATTGGGATCTGTACATTGTCTACATTGTCACCACTGATGTCATTGTGTTCTATATTCAGAGTGGAAACCGGAGTGACTCTAAAGTCGTTGCTAAAGAAGAGATAAAAGAAGAGGAGGATGAGGATGGTGTGGTGGAGGAGTCATCCAGCTACAGGAACCCACCAGAGAGATGTCCCAGTCCTCGGGATTCCACCCAGGAGGATCACACCGTCCTTCACCATGATCAGGTGGGTGGAGTTGAGGGGCGGGAACATGTGGAGATGATGGGCGGACTCTACAAGATGAGACTTTCTGCCGTTCTGTTGGTTTAGGGTGAAGATCTGATGAAGATGAAAGTTGAGGGTGAAGTAGAAGAGACGTATGTGAGGGATGATCAGCGATATACGGAGGAGGAGGCCGGAATGATGAGGACATCCATAGAGGAGGACACGCCTACAGAGATCGGCACAGGTGACCCATAATATACTCTTCTCTTATCTCTGCTCTGTTCCTGCACACTGATTGGTCCAGAGTAGGGCGGGATCTGAGTGATATCAGCCAATAGTAGGTTGGTAATGGTCACCTCCCTGTACTGATACCCGTCCTGGGGCTCAGCTGGCAGTATTGGGTTGGGTGTCACTCCTAGTTCCAGGAGCACAGATATGAGGACACAGATTGGGCCTTTCTTAGGTCGGTTCCTCTTCTTCCAGCAGACTTCTAGCTAAACATAAAACTTTATTATCAGTCTTGTTGGGATGAAAAGTAACAAAGACTGAAACACTTCTCTTTCCAGGAGAACATACTTCTCCAAGCTCCCTCCAGTGCTGCTCATCACCAGAAGTCTAGGCCTGGGGTCACTTGTTCTGTGGTGAAGGGTCTACGAGGCTGAACTTTGATTCTTCTGTACCTTAGACGTCACATGACCCAGTGCCTAGGCTTGTGGTTGGGTGAAGAGCGTGCTCCTCCCAGTCCCCATTGGCTCCTCCTCTTCTGACAGGGCTGTGTAAATGTAGAAGTTATCTGGGAGGAGGACCAAAGGCCCTTTGACTGAAGAGGGGAGGAGTCCCAGCTGGTTGGGACCTCCACAGAGAACATCTGCTCCCTCAGACCTCCTGATCCAGATGGAATGTTGAGTGAAGTCATCTAACCCTCTCATATCTCTCCATCATGTGTTTCTATGTTTCCAGGACACGCCATGGAGAAACCCTCAAAGGATCCTCTGACTTTATCTCCAGGTTGTAAGATGGAAGATGAGGACATCACAGCAGATTGTGCGGGAGAAGAGACAATGAGCTCAGCTATGGATGGTGGAC